ATAAATTTAAGGATCTATATCATGCCAATTTGTTCCAGAGATTATGGTCCTAAGTTTTCAAATCTTGAAAATCAATCTTGCAAAGTGTTTGCATATGTCTAAGAAGTTTTTATAACTGTACTCGCATATGGTTTATTTTATATATATTAATTGGCATGTAAGCATACACAAATATATATATCACAGGTGTCTGATATCAAGGGAGGTACCTCTCCATCCCTCATATTCACTAATGAATATTTATCTCTATTTGTATATCTATTCTTTTTTCTTATGAAAATGAGAACAATATTTGTTCTTTAAAAATAAATATGTCAAAATTTTAAACTATGAAATTACTTTTAGCCTAATGTAACAAACTAAAAGAGAAATGAATAAATGAATATAATTTTCATAGCACACTGAAGGGGTTATAATCAGCTCAGAGAGAAAATGTAAAATAATAAACATGAAATTGGCTGTTTAGAAATTCTAGCATAAAAGCTCAGTGACTTGATTATACTTGCTGACAGAGATGACTGCTTCTACTAAGGTTTGCTGCAATTTTGGATGGGCACATGTGGAATGCTGAGGCTGACAATCTATAGCTATAGAAATGATCTAATGATCAGTAAAGTGACAGATGTGGCCCTAAGATGTCCCTTTTATCCAGCTAGGCTTGATTGTAAAATAATACTGAAGCCCACTCACATGCAATGACTATACAAATGATTGACAAAGGGAAAACACTGGAATAAAACATAAAACAAACTTTTCAGTATTTGTGCTGATTCTGGACAGAAACTTGCTTAATACTGGCCTTCATTTTTTTAGTGGAGTCTGTCACTGAGAACATGATTGCCAAGATCAAAAAGTCTAGATAAAAGTTAATGTCAGTTCATTGAAGTTGCTGCAACTTGAACTTAGGAAATACTTCCTAGGAACCATCACAACACTCTTGAGGAACTGTTACCTATAGTATATTTGGCTTTTTAGCCTATTTTTTTTTTAAGCACAAGAGAAGAAACTTATTGGAGCCCATACAGGGAACCCTAGCGGGGCCCAGCATACCCTACTATGTAGGCATGCCCAGCAAAGGGTCATACCATTCACTGTACCCCCATGTCCCAGAGGGACTCCCCTTGAGCCGAGCCCCAAAGCCCCTGGACTGGCTGGGGGTGGGGACTTGCCTATCTTTTATTGGTTGTTTTAAGCAAGAAACTTCCATTCAGAAACAGCTGGCATTTGGGATCAGTTCTAATTAGCCAGGTTGTTTTCTTGTTCTGTTTTGTTATTTTAAACTTAGCTAGTACAGGCTGAGCTACTATAGATGTTCAATCAGTACTGTGCTAGATTCTGTAACACATACATAAAAGTACAACTCATTCTTTACTCTTAAATTTGATTTTTTGTGTGTGTGGTGGTGAGAGGATACTGAGAGAACAAGACTTACATGTGTGTAAAATAATAAGAATTCAAGATAATACCCCACAGAGGTAAATAAAACCCAGTTTTGGGGACAGCAAAACTTCAGTTTTCATGGAGATAATTAGATTTTAAGATGCATTTCAAAAAATGAGTAAGATTTGTATAGACAGCAAGTATAGAGGGTATTATAAGCAATACACAACATGAGTCAAGACTAACATGTGTGTGCCCAAGAAAATGGGATCTACATGACTAGAATAGAGACTATATTGAGAAGTGAAAAAGTTACTCCATATATTTAAACATTTAAAGTGTGTGTGTGCATGTGTGTGTGTGTGTGTGTGTGTGTGTGTCCAGGTGG